TCTATAATTTGATGGCCGGAATAGCTGCATTTACATTCAGCTACATTGCACCAAGCGCTGCGGGCCTGAGGACGCTCCGACCTTAATCTCAACCTAAAATACTCCTTGACATCCAGGATGAATTCCAGAGCAAGACGTCGATCTCGTCAGTCCTAGCATCTTGCAATATGTCATCCTCCCCAGCCGAAAAGGATAGGACAGGCAAGACTTGCCTAGCACAAGGGTATCAAGGCATCAAGTCTTGCGATCTGGAATCTGTCAGATAGAAACGTCCGGTCTCAGTCACTCTCAACTTCCCTTTGCCTTCGGGTGGGACTGCGAACTTGGCGCCTAGAGCAAAGAAGGCGCAGTTATCGGCATTCGTCAAAGTCATTTGGGGGTCAGAGTTTGACAGGTCCGCACAATCCTTGAAGTTATATGGCTTGTCCCGGTTGGTATCTGTAGTACTCGTTCCAATAGGAAGTAACTTTGACATTGCATTAGGTACCCTGCTATACCCTTGATATGCAAGGTCAACGATGGCCGAATCTGGATATAGGCGCTGCAACTCGGTCGGAAGCCTGTATGGAGCTTGATAGGGAAGCTAAAGGGGGTTTAGCAGAATACTGCATGGCGAACGTCTTCAACAACCCGAAAGTTATAGTTGCTTCCTGGAATTTGATCCCTGAAATAGCCGGGGCGTATCTGAATCCGGTCGGGGAAAATTCCCAAGGTTGCGGGCTGCGACCAAGTCGTCTACAACACAATATTATCCCATGTGCATATTAAATATCGTACGCATATCAATTCACCGTCACTTATTACTTTAGTTGGTTCTCTTAGACTCTTGCCGCATTGAGAATAGGCTTGGTCCGTTGGAAAGCCCACCATAATAGACGTATCGCAAGCTTAGCCGGGGTTAGCAGCAGAATCAGCGCATCGCTTGTTTTCAAAGAATCGACCGCAGTCGCAGTAGACAACAATATCGTTACCAGATAACTTCTCGTAGTGACCGCGCGGATTGCGGTCCTGTGGCAGCTGTAAATTCTCCGGCTCGCCATCTTCAGTGCGCCTAAACGACTTTATCTGCTTACATGTGTTTGTGACCTTCGTCCATGAGTCTTGACTGGTGACTGCTCGTTTCGACAAGCTCTTGATAATGCCTGTACATGAAACGCCTATTAGTTCTCGGCGGTCGATTTCGACTTTCATCATCTGTAGGTAAGCTTCGAGAGCGTCTGATGCGGCTTCAGTAAGCTCAGAAAGCACCCTTCATCCATTTTATTACATGGTCAGGATAGCGCAATTGTTGGTATTATCGGGGAACATCAGACTTGTTACTAGTGGAAATGCAAGTTGCATCCATGTGCCAGCGATAACAAATATTGATATAGCTTGAAAAAATAATTAAGAAGGGCATGGTTTTGAACGGATGCTTGAAGAACCTCTTTAAAGGGGGCAAGTCGTTCATTTTACTTCACATACAAGCAATCAAGGCTGTACAGGGATTGTTTTATACTCTGTACAGCACAGTAACAACATGTTTAAGCTGTAGGTGTATTAAACTAAATATCCTCTCAGCAGAATAGACGTCAAGAAATTATAACCCTTCATACAATGGGCACGAGACGCTTGTAAATTTTGGCTTCGCGGGCTATTCGTAAAAGAGGAGACAGTAAAGCTGCCACATAATTACCAAGCACCTGTATTTAGATTCAGGCATAGCTTACTATCGTGTCTTTTTTTAAACGAACGGGACGTGCTGTAAGGTATATCACGCTTGGACGTTCATCTGCTCAAATGATTGTTCCGGGGGGGCATATAATGACATGCCAGACTCAAAACTGTGGAGCCAAAACAGAACACAACGCTGCTTGGCATGAGACCAGAATTATGCTTGAAGTAATGTAATATATTGCTTTCAAACAACCCGATTGCCTTGCTTGGGATACTAGAATGTGTTCTCTGTATCCCTGGCCAGGTTTTGTGCGCTACATAATACTGACGAATGAAGGCCGGTGCGTGTCCCCATTTCGGAGTGGCGATCTTCAGGCTTGGAGCCGTCCAGCAAGTGCTACGCTTGGCAAAACCAGCCCTCACAGTGCTCGGAATTGCCTCTGCCCGATCCTTTTCAACAACAGCTGGACTGGAATATCTTTGATCTCGATACTGAATCGCATCTTCCAACTCAGGCACCGGCCGCAGATGTCTCACCATTTTGTTGCTCCGAGTCTTTGAGTTCTGCCGGAGGAATGTCCTGTGCGTACGAAGTGACCAATCTCTGTTCTTCCTTTTGGGATCGTACCGCCTCAGTCTCTTGTCGCAGTTTTTCCAAGTTCCATGTATCGTCGTCATCGTCATCCTCAGACTCGTCTTCACCGCGCCACTTTCCGCTCTCAAACAGGGCACGACCTGTATTCTCCTTCGCCTTACGAAGTTGTTCCTCGGCGGCCTTCTTGTCAAGACGCTCCTTCTTCCATTTCGCGAAACTTTCTGGGGTAACGGGTGTAAGAGTTCCTGTAAGTTTGTGTCGCTCCGACTCCAGGAAGTCTTCCAAGGTAAGCGTTTTAAGAGGCGATTTGTCCATGAGGGCCTTTTCCGCTGCCCTCTGTTCCTTTGTCTTCAGGATAAAACTACAAGCAACATGTAAGCCAGCCTGCTATGCAAATTATTATCATGGGGAAATACATACCCTGGAGGCAGAGCGTGTTTATACATGCATTTATCACCACTATTTGGACAGACCCAGAACCAGCCGTATTTTCCATCCTCGATGGCAGAAATGAAGTACTTGCACACTTTATCGGTAGTCGATTGCTGGTTGCCCTTCTTGGACAAGACCACCTTTCGTAGTTGTTCTTCGTCCCAGTCGGCAGAAGTCTCCTTCTTCTTCTCTTCTTCTTCCGCTCCTCTGGTGTCTGTGTAGAGGTTCCTTTTCTCGGTCCTTCGTTCGATGGATAGGTCGTGTGCGAACTTGCATTTTTTCCCCTTCTCACAGTCTCCCTTCTTGTAGAAAATGCACACCACGGTCTTGGGATCTACACCGAACGGCACTTTCTGTATTTGGGCCGGCTTGTTCAAAAGTAACGCAGCCTCTTTCTTGGCTTCTTCTGCCGCCTTCTTCTCTTTCTCTCGCTGAGCCTTCTCGGCCTGTTTTTTCTTCTCCTCAGGGCTGACACCATTCTTCAAATTGCTGGTCATCTGCGCAATTGTTTTCTTGGCAACGGCTCCCTTTTTATTCTTCATACCAAAAGTCTTGTCTTCGACCTGTTTGGTGGCCGACGGCTTCTTGCCGCCAGCAGCCTTCTCGGCCTTCTTTGGAGGCATGTTGGGCAGTGGCGGGGTTGATCGATGGGCCAGCGCTCGAAATCGAGAGTTTTCTAGGTGTATAAAGATGATAAAATTTGAAGCAGATCGATTTTAAATGGCACCCGCCCTACTCTGGTGGCCGCTATCGACTGGGTTGCTGGGATGGCAAGGTCAAGCACGATTGTCACGCGAAATGACGTCCTGACGTCGTGGAGAAAAAGAATCCTTCAATGTCCTTCCGTCATATTTGTTGGCTGCTATGGTTGGTGGATGAAGTCACCAAAATCACGTGCTTGACCCTCTATTGGGTGCATAGCGTTGTGTTAGCAGTGGACTGGCATTACGGAATACGTACCTGGTGGGCGACCCCAGGCTCCACGAAAGCTCCAGCTGTCCTCCTTATCATCACGACATTGCCGACGATATTTAGACTCATCAGCAGCTCCCACGCAGTCTTTCATTGTGAGCTATGTTACTTTAACGAACATTCACGTCACTGGGAGTGTATTTGCTAATGCCATCTTGCCCAGAAACATTCCCACCATCACAGCTTCTTGATCGCATTACGCTGTCACGATGATCTCCGACCGCGACCTATTCACTCTGGCCGTCTTCTTCGGCGCAGCTTCAATGTTGCTGATCGTCGTCTACCATTTCTTAGAAGCCAATGTGGTATCTAATACCGCTGGTGTTAACAGAATTGAGCTATCAAAGTCATCATGATTGTCCTCGAGGGGGAAAACAAATACGATGGAGCAAACATTGACGATTGCACCGCTATGCGTGGAGGCATTGTACAATAGCAGCACAACCAACGACCAAATGGTCACAGCATAAGGCCAGACGTACTGGCAACAAACCGGGTTCTTTCTATACGGCGTTGAATAGGAAAAAAGAGCGACTTGGTTATCCATCGGGACGCCCCGTCTTGCACATTCCGGTCCCAAGGGGTGTTCATGTTGTCGACCAATATAAAGCAGATGCCGAATATTCATTCGTCAAAGATAGATGGGACAGGTTGTATAGACTAACACAATTCATAATACATCCGATTCTATAGCCATGCAACTTCGTTTGATACTGTGATATTCGAATAAACGGCCCATAGCTGGCAGGCATCCGATGGGTTTGAACTGTACTTGTGACGTTTTGTGGCCTCTTTTCTTGAGTTGGCGAATCAAAGCAGTGGAAGGGTTTTAGGCCTATCAAAGTGAAAAGGCGATCACTCGCACATTCACATGAACGTGGCCTGATAATATACTTTGGCTCTTCGCTGTGCAATATGAGAAGCATGATTCCTGGCGACTTGAACTCTACGCGAGCTGGAAAATCCACAAAGCGCCAGCTCCTTGTTGTGCCAAAATAGCTCGGAGCCTACTGTGTGTGTTGAGCTTGTTTCGCCATCTGTATTACAACATGCATGGGCTAAACCTGCTACCCATCTGAATCATGAACTTATGTTCCAACCCGGATCTCAGGCTAACTGCGGTGAAAGCATGCTTTAATAATGCTATTGGGCATTTATGAGAAGCGACTTGAAGAAAGCGTAGGACGAAGAGGAACTAAAGCTCTGATTGGCTTGCTAGGCGTGGTGTGTTGTTTAGAGAATGCTCATGTTAACTAAAGCTAGCCAAACTCCGGCCAAAATACTCTGTACGGAGTACATTATTAGAACTTACGATTTGATGAAAGCATCACAGCACGTGATCAAAGGCCGTGTGGCTCAATGGCAGAGCGTCTGACTACGATAAACAGGTTACAATGTTTAGTTGGTGATCAGAAGGTCGCAGGTTCGACCCCTGTCTCGGTCAATTTATTTTTGCAATAATATTCGCAAACGAATATTATTTACGGAGTACTTCCGTACATGTGGCCAAGGTGGATCGGCTTTGAGACTTTTTTTTATTAAGTCGCTGTCGGACAGAAATGACGGTCGGTTGGGCTGGACTGGGCTAAGTCTAGGCCACGGTGGCTGCGGCGTCCGTACACGGTGCGGAGCCGCCTTCAGCTCCTCCTTCCTCACGCCTGCTGGCCTTGCCACTTTGTTTTCGCTGGATCCTGTCTAGTCGCCTTACGAGTGCTCCGCTCCCCTTCTTCTTCTCTCGCTTGTGCACTACCGCGTCTACTTCCTTCTCCCATCAGCATCTTCAAGTTGTCCAACCAAGCAATAACCACTTCTGTCGCAACTGAAAAGTCGACAAAAGCCCCCTTCGACATCGCGCACCTTTTACGTTCATTGCGTCTTGATTCACTTCGCCCGGTCATCTTGACTAGACTGCTCTTTCAGACCACTGCTAAACGTTGACTCGTTTGCGCTCCATAGCACCACAATTGGTGACGGACCCTTTGATTCTTGATAGCCTCTTTTACAAAGGCTATCAACCTTGACCGCCCTCTTCGTGTTTTTTTTAAAAAGAAAAAACCCCCCCCAACCCCGACCAACTTCAGAAAAACCAAACTTCCACCATGTCTAGCAAGCTCGATAAACCTCTTGACGACATCGTCTCGGCCAAGCGCCAATCTGCCCGCAATCGTCGCCCATCTCAGCGTCGTTCTGCTGGCCCAAAGGCCGCCGCCCCTGTTGGCGGTATCCAGAAGAACTCCAAGCCGGCTCGCGGTTCTGCGGCAAAGCCCGCTCCCACCAAAGCGACCGCTTCTGGAGAAAGCAAGGTTATTGTCAGCAATCTGGTATGTGCTATCAATGAATCTCACTTGACATTTCTACGGATATCCTAACTGAAACGTTTTTTCAACAGCCCAAGGACGTCTCGGAGCAGCAGATCAAGGTATGTTTCCGTTGAAGGTTTCGTACCTTCCGGGCTTTGTTCGACGTTTCCTTCATCGCCGTACTCCTACCTTTAATTTTCGACGTCCACACGTTCTTTCGAACGCCAGTGTCTTCTGTGTTTATAACACACATCCGAACGCCCTAGTCTCCTTCGATTTGTGTGGGCACTTGGAATATAGTGCATCGCACTGGAAGTTGAGAGCAGTTTCACCTCGCAACATGCCTATTACATGCCTGGTCAGCATTGTTTCGAAGAGCTGCGCGATGATGTGGGCAAAACTGTGGCAATAAGTTTGGTAGGCCTGTTGGACTGATTGATGGTTCATTCCATCAATACATACGATGCGATTATTGTTGGCATAGTTCGGCGCACCCGAGCATAGTAGTGAGCATCTACTCCAGCAAGTGACTAGCTGTCGCAATTTGAAAAGGGGGGACCTGTAATAGTCTTCAAATCTGTTGGGTATGACGATTGGTTTGGGTCTGGCGATATCGTGCGACAGCTGGATTATCATGTGGTACGGCCGGTTATATCTCATTGGAAAGACTTGGCGGGATAACATTGGTGTGGCGTACCAACACCCGACCTGAATGCTGTCTTGAGAGATACCCAGTCCGGTTCTGAAAATGGACCACACATGGGCGCTGGTGTTTGTAGCTCACTACTGTGCTCGTTTCGTCCACTATTGTAATTGCTCCTTCATACTTCAGCGCAGCTTTCATTGCCGCCAATTTGTATCGGACGAAGATCGGACTGGACTCGAGACTTAACCACTAGATTTCCAGCTTTCGATAGACTGACGCGCCTTCCCGATAGGAATACTTTGTCCAAGCTGTTGGACCTATCAAGCGAGTCGACCTCGTTTACGGCCCCAACTCTGTCAGCCGTGGTATTGCCAATGTTGCTTTCCACAAGAGTGATGGGGCTGGTAAGGCTTTCCAGAAGCTGAACGGTCTTCTTGTCGACAACAGACCCATCAAAGTTAGTATCACCAGCTACGCCCGTGATTCCTAGTTATAATCTAACAAATTTCAGATCGAAATTGTCGTTGGTGCCGCTCAGGCTGACAAGGTCATGCCGGCTGTTAAAAGTTTGGCCGAGAGGACTGCGTAAGTTGTGACTTAGCCCAAGGACGATATAAAGACCTGTTGTTAACGATAAACATTGCAGCCAACCCAAGCCTCAACCTAAGACGGCCGCATCTGGCAAAGGTGGTGCTGGAGGTGTCGGTAAAGCTGGCAACGGTGCCAAGGGTGCCGCCAACAAGAAGCGTCGAGGCCGAAACGCCCGCCCTTCAAAGAAGACAGCTGATGAACTGGACACGGACATGGCAGACTATTTTAACAAAACTGCAGATGGAGCTAACAACGGTGCCGCCGCCAACGCCGCCGCCCCAGTTGCTGCTGCTACCGGCGATGCCCCCATGGAAGATGAGATTATGGTATGTTGAATTCGTTACGGACTATCAATGATGGTATACTGATCTTTCATTTTATTCTAGTAATCGTACATGTTACATTAGGCAAGATTGGAACGCGACTTTCACTTTATCCTTTTAATACCCAATAAATATAAAATTTGAGTTTTACGCCTTGCAGAACCGCCGCCCGAGATGACTTGTCGACGCACATAATTACGTTTGGTGGTGTGGAGAAAACAAAGCGAATGCACTCGGACAACACTGATGGGATTGGAGTTCATACTCTGCGGGTCAGTTGGTCAACTTTATTAAACTACAGCGGTGCATGTTCTGGTATCTGACGATTGGTCGAGATGAATTAACCTAGCGTTATAAATAGACGTATCCTTATAATACAGAAGGCAGTGGATGCCTGAAAATGTGAATGAAGCCCGAGATGTACTCCCCTCATGATCCGCGTCTGTGTCACTGGTGTTTATGTACCACTAGGCCTGAAACACGGTATTTCACAGAAGACTTGTGTGGCCTGATATGTGCAGGTGAAGCAGCTTGAAATGATTCATTCGCCAGGCAACGAGCTTCTTGTGGATGACCGTGATAAGCTTTCCGCAGACGACTTCCTCGAGGCGCCCGATCTGGACCTTGGGCAGCACTGCCTGCCTCGTGTCAGATCATCAATGGAGGGTGGCGCGAAGTATGGTTCGTCAGCGGGCCAGGCCGCAATGAAAGCACCGTTACGAGAGGCACGAGCGGCATCGAAGGAGGTGTAGATTTCGGGGGAAGATGTAGCTGAAGGCATGTTCTCAAGGTGCCTATAATAGTGTATATGATGATATATGTTGATGTATATATGATGGAGAGCAGCAATCTGGTATATCGGTGGAGGTGGAGAAAGTGTGAGGTTGGTTTTATCGCCGTGAGGAGAAGAAGGAAAAGGAGGAGGGGAGGAAGAAGAAGAAGGAGGAGCAGGAGGAGGAGGAGGAGGAGTAGGAGGAGAAGGAGGAGAAGTAGATTATAGTGTTGGTCTGAAGAGGCAGAGGCAGAGGCAGTGGTAGTTATTCAGAACTATAACTGAGTCCTGACCTGAATGAACGGATCGTGAACAGTGTGGCATGTTCTAGATGGACGAGGTTGGGGTATCCGTTTATTTATCTATTTATTTCTGTTCTGCATGTTGTGGTGAAAATACCACGCAGCAAATTAGGGCAACCCAGACAGTCGGGTCGTTGGTTACATGTACAAGGGATGGGCGAGAAAGGGAAAAGGGAAAAGGGCCACGAAGATGTGTTGGTTGGTTGGTTGGTTGGTTGGTTGGGATGGGTGGATGCGCAGGCCTGTTGGTTCTAACAGCCGAGCCCAGCCCGGCCCTGGCCCATGCAAATGCGAATGTGAACGAGTCTTGTCTTGGTGCGGCGGCTAGGATTAAGGATTAACGATGGGAGACCAAGAAAAAGAAAAAAAAATGAGAAAGAAAAAGACTACTTTTGTACGGAGTAGTTGCAGATGTACAGTACAGTATTTGCAGGTTGCAGGTTGCGGTTGGTGTTGGTGTTGGTGTTGGTGTTGGTGCAGCTACACTATGTTTTATGCAGGTTTGATATCCACTCGACCTGGTGGTGGTGATGATGGGTGGCGCGTAACGAACTGCCTAGATACCTACAGAGTACTCCGTCGATATAGTTCGACCTACATACTTGCGATGTACCCCGTACACAGCACTATCTATCATCACTACCCTTAAGCAAGCTAGTACGCGGGATAAAGAGCCAAAAGGGACGAATAACAAAAAGGGGGCGCGCCGCCACGGTACACAACCACGCAATAATAACACGGCCGCATATATTCGGGCAACAGGTCAATCGTCAGAATTGGTATCACAGCGTACAAGCATTCTCGTAGTCCAAGTCGAGCTCGCATGTCTCAGGAGGAACCTTGCTTGCGTGCCTGCTTCTTGTTCTTGGGGAAGCAGACAGGCTGTGGCGAAAATACAATGCAATACAATACAGAGTACAATACAATACAATACAGAACTGCATCATCATGTCCGATGGCGCATAACGCATGTCCTCGAAAACAGCCAGATCCTGCAGGTCAACCCCGAACGAACGACAAGAACGCCTGGTGGTGCGTGGCTGGACCATGCACACTGCATAAGAACCAATATTCTACGAATTCCGACTCACAGAACAAGGCAAGACAAGGATAAGCCCGTCTAAAAAGTGACAAGTTATCGTCCCCCCTTGACAAGTGTGCAGAAGACACATGAGAAGTTTGCTCCAAATTACCGGTAATACGAGACAGCCATAGGTTGAGGAAGAGGTCGAAATGGCTCCGAGACCTATCTGAGTTTCACAGAGCTGAGAAATGGGATGAGATGAGTGGACGGCGCCGGCTGTGTTACTATGCGTCAAGCCAAGAGATTTGAAGCTTTGCAGACATGGCGTCAACTCTTGCAGGTCGTTTGTCAGACGTCAAACCCCGACTAGGGAACGTGAACGCCACGCCCGTCGTCGGATCGCCGCGGTTGCATTGCTTGTGGAATTGTGATTGTGACGCATCATGTATGCAAAAAGCATACATGCACTTTTTATTTTCATGCCGT